CTTTGTCTGGAGATGTAGTCTTTTATCTCTGCTTTCCTTCGACTTCAAACTATTCTCCCTGCATGCCAACTTTCTTTCCTTTTTCACATAAATGGAAGAAGATAACTGCTCCACAGCTTGAGTGTCTGCCTGTTCCAGCCCAGAAATGACTGTCTCCACTGCAAACCAATTCCAAATTCCCAGGAGAGGGTATTTAATTGATCCAGCTATGCTGCATTGATTGTGGAGAAGGTGGTAGTGGTGGGGGTGGTGGTAGGGTGCCCCATGGTACTAACTTGGTAGCCAGGCCTCACCCCTGTGGGAGAAGAGTGTTCTTGCAGAACGGGCTGTGTGCCATAGCATTCTCTAAAGTATCTACCACAGCTAATTAGACAGTAGAACATTTGCCAAATGAATGAATGATTGAATGACATGAGACACAGTTTTGTCTAACTTCAAAGCCCATGCTCATTGCCCTACATCTGATAGCCTTCCAAATGATTCCATTTGAGAGAACTGTTTCCATACCTCAGTAAAAGAGAATGTTCTTGTATCAGGGTATTCCCAGGAAACAGATGGCATACTCAACTTGGGATAGTTTGAGGAGAGTTTAACAAGGGACTATTTACAAAGGTGTAGGGAAACCACTCAGGGGATACAGTACCCTGAATCTCACATTAGAGGGGCTAAGCCTAAAAAGGTCTGGAGAGATGGCAATTCCAGGACTTAGAAATGGAGAACTATCCTGTGTTCCTTTCCCACAATTTTGGCCTGGGCTGTGGTAACCTTAGGGCCTGGTCTCCCCATCTCCAAACACAGGTAATAGAAGATGGCAGTTCCGGGATTTAGACATACCTAAAAGAACTAGGTAGAGGGGGCCAGCCGACAGGAGCTGAGATCTTAGCTAATGGGACTCAAGTGAGCTTGCCACGACCCCCACAGGGAAAGAAACAGAGCATTAAATACCCCAGCCTCATACTCCTACTTCCTTTTGATCTTCTGCTTGTTACTCATTGACTGAATCCAATACAAAGCCAGAGGTAAGGGAATCTGTTGGTCCATGCAGATCAGCCTCTGGAACCCAGAGCTGGCTGCGGAGGGTGAGGAATTAATTTGAAGAAGCAGATATCTAGGTCTTTAAACTAGAAAATAAAAACAAACACGTATAACCAGATTAGAAGTCCAAAAACGTGAAATTTTAAGAGTGCCCCTAAAGGTTTTAAGAGTGCTCTAAATGTTTAATTTTCATGTCCCGGGGAAACAATATTTCTGTATTTGTTAAACCACATACTTCGGCTGAAGTCTGTAACTAATAATAGGTGCCTCAGTGCTTGCTTGGGGGCTCAGGGTTCTGGACAACCCCTCTCCAACCCTTATCAGAACACCTTTGCTTTCATTTGGTTAATACATCAGGATTCCGCTTCAGATTTCATTGCAGAAGAAGCGCTACAGCGCCTCCTATGGCCAGGTACGGTGCTTAGGACACAAAAATGAATCAGACAGCAGGGTGGGGATGGGGAGGTAGACAGAGATGTGAGTACAGTCGTAGGAAAAGGCACAGGTTCTGAAGGGAACTCAAAGAAATAAACCCCGAAAAGGCGAAGCGGTCCAGGAAGCCTTGCCGGAGTAGGTAACCGGAAAGGGGAAGTAAGATAGCTCCGGGGACACTGCTGTTCTCCAAAAGAGATTAGAGGAACCCAACAGTTATGTAATTCTCTAAAAGGAGTTGGGGCGGGGGGGTGGAGCTGGCTGTCGCTGGAAAGAGCTAGGCTAGGGATCCGTGGACAAAGCTGGGATCCATGGTGACTCGAAGTGATTGGCAAGATCTCGGCTCAGGTCTGCCTCCAGCCTTGCTCCGCCCCTACCCCATCACATTCTCTGCTAAAAGGGCGCGGCTTTTCAACAGTTCCTCTTGGCTGGGAAGGGATCCCAAGCCCAAAATCCGCACCTCCTGCGTGGGGCGGGGTGGGGGGGGCGGTGCGGGGGCATGCCCAGTTTCCAAAAATAGCAGGTGGGAGGTGGTTTCTCTGAGGAGGTCCTGTGAGCGCAATTCCGCTGGGCGGGGCGGCCATGGAGAGGGCACTCATTGGTTGCCACAGCGGTGATCCGAGAAGCCTTGGAAGGCTGATTGGTTGCACATTCTCAGTGCCGACCACAACCATCTCTCCCGGTTGTAATTGGGTCAGGACCACCTATTGGGTAGTTTGGGTAGTCTGCATCGTGGTAATGAGAAGGGATTGGGAAAGGACGTGCATTTCCAGGGAAGCAACTGGATATTTTATGGATTTTCGCGGGCCCGGGGACTTCGTGTGTCTCCCGGGCTGTGGAACCAGTGCAGATGCTGCGGCAAAGGGAGATGCGTCCAGGGCGGCGGCTTCCACTGCGCGAGAGCCCCCGCCCCGCGTCCGTTCCCGCCTGGCGGGAATCCAGGACCGTGAACCAGAAAGCGCTTGTCCTTGAGAAGACAGTTGTAGGTCACAAAGCCTGATTTTTTTCCAGCATTCCAGTCCCTATTCACCCTCCGCCAGCCACGTCGAATGCATCATTTTAACAACGAGTGAGGCAGTTCTGGCCTGTAATTTCTTGTCCCCGGCTTCTGACTCCCATTCCCCCATTTTAATTCACTGCTTATACCTGAAAGCTTAGTTCTGATACCATCTTTTCGGTATAAGGCCGGCCCCATTCTTCGGGACAGTTACGCCATTACTTCTTTAGAAGCGCTAGCTTTGGAACGGGGCCCAGTTAGAATTGCGGCTATGCCGTTCGAAATGCGGTGTGGTTTTGGGCAAATCACTTAATCTCTGTGAGCCTCACCTTTGCTTCTCAAAAATGGAGGTAATGCTAGTACTTCGAGGGTTTTTTTGTGATTAATGTAAAGCTGTTAGAACATCAGTGCTTAATAAACGTAAGCTTATTGTCCAATGTTCTTTGTATAGTCCTCTTACAACGTTTGCCCTTTGTATTACCATTATTTGTTTTTGCCCTATTAGACTTAGAGCTTTTAAAAGCTAGAACTGTGTCTTGTTTATGATGTGAGCATACAACAATGCTGGGCACTTAAATGTATGATATGAAATGATTTCTCATGGAACTTTTTTAAAAGCACCCTTTTCTCTCCTTTTTCTTTATTCCTTTCCTTTTTTTTCTTTCTTTCACTTCTTTTTTTTAAAGGCTCGTTGAGACAGGAGTTTTCAAACTTAGAGAAGAAGCTGAGATCCTAGGGAGAAGAATAAGCACCTCTTCTGCTGCCCATGGTGACCAAGATGACTTCAACATCCCCCTTCACACTTGACAAGTTTAGACAGATTTCTTCTTGACATCAGCCCCAGACCTCTCTTTCCTCAGGCATTTACTTGTAATTGCAAATTTCTTCTCTGCCCCTTTGAAATGTACAATAAATCTCCCTAAAAGCCTCTTGCCAGTTTTAAAACCCAAGGAATGTCTTTCTCCAGGACCTGGGAGTTTGAAATGCAGTCCTCAAGGAAGATAGCACCCCGATTTCCTAGTCTCTGTGAGATGGTAAGAGACTAAGTCACTTTTGGGGGGTAAGATCAATCACCACGCACAGGTGGCCTAAGAAACCTTTCCCATCCCACACACCAGCCCCCGCAGCTCTAAAAATCTCAACACAGTTGAGTTCAACCTCCTATTGCAATAGTCCTAAAGTTCTTCCTGTCTGTTTAACTTTGTCTGTTGTGATTTTTCTTTGAGAGAAATCTTCAGGTTCTGCACTTTTTGTTTCTTCTTGATTACAGTGATGAATCATTTCTTCCACCTTTCAAAAAAGTGCTCCCCGCATGTCCTCTGATAGCAGAGATTCACCAATTTGGACTCAAAAATAGGGATTTGTGGAATGAAGCTACTGCTTTAAGTCCTTGCAGACAGTAGTTTGTAATAAGAGGATGTGGAAAGGGTAGTGTGTCTTTCTGAGGGCATCCTAAATAAGGTGCATTCATCTTATGGAAGTGGTACCTGTTCCCTTTTCTTTCCTGTTATGAAAGGGGCATGCGAAAGATGCACTTTTCAAAGGAAGAGAACAGCTAAGAATATAATACCCTTCTTAAAGGATGCTAGGTTTGGTTAAGAAGAGAAGCTAGAGGAAACCAGGGAGGTCATGGTTGCAAATAGAAAGGCTTCTGCAATGCGGGAGGTAGTGTGAAGGTATAGTCCTTGAAGTACAGGGAATGAAATAGATCCATTTAACATGAGGAGTTAAGGATTTAGTTGGAATGAAATGAAAGGTGATTGAGAAAAGGGAAGACAGTAGGGAGAGGGGAGTTATTTTGGGATATGAATAACAGGAAAGGTAACTGGTTATCTGAGAAGCTTGTTAGAGTCACTTACTACTTGGATCTAAAGGGAAATATCAAGTGGTTGTGTTAGTTAAAGAAACTAAAGGATTTAGGAGACAGGGTTTGGCACACTGGCCTCTTCGACCTTCCCCTTCCCAACAACACACAAGCAGAGACAAACTGAATCCAGTGTTGGCAATTTAATGCCACCACAAATTCTCCCACAAAGGCTAGTGGAGGCTAAGAAGATAGACTTCAGGCTGCTGATCCTTAGTTTTTCTTTTTTTTTCTTTAACTGATCTTAATGTCAACCCTGCTCCCTAATCCTCTTTTTCTTTCTTCTTCCCCTATTTTTTCTCATATAGAAACAGGGTAAATGAGGTAATATTCAGGATATAAGATTAGAATGTGAAAGAAAAGCAGACCGAAGTGATTAAGTTGAAAGGAAAAAAAAGTCTATTCCTAAATGTCAATGCAAAACACAGGCTGGGAATAATAAGGTAAAGTACTAGACAAAATGAAATAGAATTAAGTGCACTTAGGAATTTATCAGATCCTATTGGAGAACTCAGAAGAAAAAAACTCAGGAAAGTCTTAAATTCTCCAGATGAAGGTCCATGAGAAAACTGCTTAAAGTGAAACCAGACAGATGAGCATTAGACATCAATTAGATCTCCCAGGTCTGATGTTAGTAATAAGAAAGCTGTGCGTGTCCTTCCCTGGAACCTTTCAGCATTGGAGAGTTACAACTGCCAGGGCAGAGGAGGGAGCTTCCGCTCCCAGAGTCTTCCAACCAGACTCTGCCTGGGCCGGGCTGGTCCTCCCAAAAGCCTTCAGTATGGCCTTCTTCATTTCCTTGTTGCAAAAACTGTATATGATGGGGTTGCACAGGGGGTGATGATGGTGTAGAGGAAGGAGAAAGGTTTGTCTTTTTTATTGCCACGTGTGCTGCAGGGGTTCATGTAAGAACCCAGCCAAGATGTAGGAAAAGACGACCACAGTCAGACGGGGGCACAAGTAGAGAAGGTCCTCCCTGGACCTGAGTAGGAGTCTCTGTCGATAATGGAGGCCAGGATGCAGGCATAGATGACAATGAGCACCGTGGGGATGAGCACCACCACAGTGGCATCAGCAAGGGTCACCCTCAGAGTGAATGGAGGGTCTCCACAGGAGAGGGCGATCACTATGGGGGCCTCACAGAAGAAGCTTTCTATGTAGTTTTCTCTACAGATATGGACCATGAAATGTCATATAATCAAGCAGGATGCCATTGATCAGCCCAAGGAACCAGGCAATACTCACCAGCCTCACACAGACCAGATGTTGGATCATGATCTGGGCATAGCTAGCAGGTGGCAACACAATGATAATAGGCCAAAAAAGCCAAGAGGATGCACTTGGCCACACCCACACCAAAACCCAGGTCTATCTGGGTCAAGCAGGAGGCAAAGGAGAGAGTGTGGTTCTTGACCACCAGGTGGATCAGCACCTGTGGGATGGTGGTGGTGATGGAGCAGAGACCCAGGAAGGATGGGTGGCCAAGGAAGGCATACATGGGGCTGTTAAGTCTGGGGTCTGTCCAGGTGATGAAGATGATCAGGCTATTTATGGCCATGGCAAGGCTGTTGAGGACTAGGAAGTGGGCAAAGAGCAATGCCTAAGTAGAATGGGAGGTCTGCTCAAAGCCCTCGAGGATAAACTCTGTCACTGTACTTCTGTTCCTTAGGTCCACCATCTGGGCGGGGGAAAGGCAAAGCACAGGTGAAATAGCTGTGTATACATGTTACCCACTTGTATAAAAACAGATAGGGGACAAAGGAATGAAAAGGACAGGAATTTCAGTAAACTCCCATGAATCAGCAGTGTTGTGGGCACTGAAAATGCCAGTGCTATTGTAGGCTACAATAGTGGAACCGTATTATAAATCAAGGGAGATTCTATTGTACTTTGTGTGCTTCAGGTTGTACCTGAAATATTGCATCTAGTCTGGGAGCTCTATTTTTTAAAAAGATTTTATTTATTTATTTTTAGAGTGGAAGGGAGGGAGAAAGAGAGGGAGTGAAACATCAATGTGTAGTTGCCTCTTGCATGCCTCCCTCTGGGGATCTGGCCTGCATCCCAGGCATGTGCCCTGACTAGGAATCGAACCGTTGACCCTTTTGTTCACAGGCCGGTGCTCAGTCCACTAGCTGCACCAGCCAGGCCTCTGTGATTACCCACTAATGGGATCTAGGAACCATGCATGTGACAAACTTTGAAGGAAACTTTAAAAGGAAGATTCAGTGAGAATCTGAGGGGTCTCTTTAAATGTTAACAGTTTTTCCATCTAGAAAAGAGAATTTATTTTTTCTTTTTGTTTAAATAAAGATTTATATTTATTTATTTTAGAGAGAGGGGAAGGGAGAGAGAAAGAGAAGGAGAGAAACATTGATCGGTTGTCTCTTGCACTCCCCTAAATGGGGACCTGGCCTGCAACATAGGCATGTACCCTGAGCAGGAATTGAATGAGCAAACTTTTTTCTCCTGGTTCTTTGGGCTGATCAATGGCATCCTGCTTGATTATATGACATTTCATGGTCCATTTTTGTAGAGAAAACTACATAGAAAGCTTCTTCTATGAGGCCCCCATAATGATCACCCCCTCTTGTGGAGACCCTCCATTTACTCTGCAAAACCAGTTTGCAGAATGATGCTCAACCCACTCAGCTACACCAGTCAGAGTGAGCATTTACTTTTTCTGTGTAATGTCAATGAGCAGAATTTGAACCAAAGAGTGGAAATATCAGAGAGAAAAATTACTGATATTTCTAATTGTAAATTTTCTTCATTCTCTTAACACTGAAAGTAATGCCTTCTCTTTGTAGAACATCTGGAAAATGCCAAAGAGCAAAAGCAAAAATAAATAAATATAAAGAATCACCTGGAGAGAAAAACTACATCAGTATTTTAATTTATATCTTTTTAGTAATTGCTTTTCTATGTTTAAGACCAACACAAGACCTGAATGGAACCTGCCACAGGAACTTAAGTGTCGGGGAGAAGTGTATTCTCAGGAAGAAATGCAGCAATTACAGCTGACTGCAGGTTAGGGGATCAGCTACAAGTCCAATAGGGAGAAAGTAAAAAGGATAAAAATTCATTTTTTATTTGAATGGAGGGCTAGGGACAATTGCAATACACCCAATTTTATACCCCCAAATAGTTTTTTCATTTAATAAATGAGTCCCTACCATGTTCCATGTATTGTGCTAAAGGCTAAGAATATAGATATAAAATTATGAATACGAATTTCTTCCATGAGCTGGCCAAGATGTAGGCATAGGTAGATACACTTTGCCTCCTCACACAACCAAAAGAAGGACAACAACAAATTTAAAAACAAAAAATAACCAGAATGGCCAGAAATTGAACTCTTTGGAAGTCTGACAACCAAGGAGTTAAAGAAGAAACATTTTATCCAGATCAGCTGGAGGGGCGGAGACAGGCAGCTGGGGCAGAAAGGACATGTGGCAAGGGAGCGGCTGGAGGACCAAGCAGTCCCACATTTGCGTGCAAATAAACCAGGAGGAACAGCTAGGAGCAAGACAGATGGCACAATCCAGGGTTCCAGTTGGGGAAAAGAAAGCGTCAAAACCTCTGGAGGTAAAAATCTATCGGGGATATGGCAGTGGGATAAATTCCCAGTCTCATGGGAGAGTTTTGTTGGAGAGACCCACAGGGTCCTAGAACATACACAAACCCACTCACCTGGGTATCATCACCCGAAGGGCCCAATTTGTTTCTGGGTAGTAGGGGAAGTGACTGAAAGTCCACTGAGAGCCAAGGGAGTGGAATTATTCCCTCTCAGGCCCCTCTCCCACAGGTAGCATCACAACACAGCCACCTGGGTTGCCCCACCCTGGTGAATACCTAAGGCTTTCCCCTTCCAACTTAACAGGCTCACTGAGACAAAGAAACAAGACTGAAGTGAAAGAACAGATCAAAGCTCCAAAAATAGAACTAAGCGATGAATAGAAAGCCAACCTAGCAGATGCACAGTTCAAAATACTGGTAATCAGGACGCTCACAAAAATTGTTGAGTATGGTTGCAAAGTGGAGGGAAAAGTGAAGGCTATGCAAAGTGAAATAAAAAATATATATATACAGGGAGCCAACAGTAAAGGGAAGGAAACCAGGACTCAGACTGATGATTTGGAGCAGAAGGAAGAGATAAACATTCAACAAGAACAGAATGAAGAAACAAGAATTCAGAAAAAAAAATGAGGAGACGCTTAGGAACCTCTGGGACAACTTTAAACGTTCCAGCATTCAGATCATAGGGGTGCCAGAAGGAGAAGAGGAAGAGCAAAAAAAATGAAAGCTTATTTGAACAAATAATGAAGGAGAACTTCCCCAATCTGGCAAAGGAAACAGACTTCCAGGAGATCCAGGAAGCCCAGAGAGTCCCATAGAAGTTGGACCCAAGGAAGCACACACCAAGGCACATCATAATTACATTACCCAAGATTAAAGATAAGGAGGGAATCTTAAAAACAGCAAGAGAAAAGGAGACAGTTACCTACAAAGGAGTTCCCATAAGACTGTCAGCTGATTTCTCAAAAGAAACCTTGCAGGCAAGAAGGGGCTGGCAAGAAGTATTCAAAGTCATGGAAGGCAAAGACCCACGTCCAAGATTACTCTATCCAGCAAAGCTATCATTTAGAATGGAAGGGCAGATAGAGTGCTCCCCGGATAAGGTCAAGTTAAAGGAGTTCATCATCACCAAGCCCTTATTATATGAAATGTTAAAGGGGCTTATGTAAGAAAAAGAAGATCAAAAACTCTGAACAGTAAAATGACAACAAACTCACAAGTATCAACAACTGAACCTAAAACAAAAACAAAACCTAAGCAAACAGCTAGAACAGGAATGGAGATCAGGGGGGAGGCAGAGGGGGAAGAATGGGGAGAAAGGTACAGGGAATAAGAAGCATAAATAGTGGGTACAAAATAGACAGGGGGACATTAAGAATAGTATAGGAAATGGAGAAGCCAAAGAACTTGTACGTACGATCCATGGGCATGACCTAAGGGGGTGGGAGAATGCTGGTGGAAGGGAGGGTACAGGGTGGAGGGGAATCAAGGGGAGAAAAAAAATGGGATAACTGTAATAGCATAATCAATAAAATATATATATTAAAAAAAAGAATTTCCTCCATGACCTCATGGGGATTATACTATATCCCAGGTCATTAGATCAGGGGATTAACTAACAATATAGGGAATCCATATAACATAAGAATAATATGTTATCTAAGTACACTTTTATAAGCAGATATATTTCAAACTCTATCACATCTGTAGAGGGAATGTACCCTTTTGAAGGGTTATGGAATATTTGCAAAGTAGTGTTGATATATTAGAGAGTTGATATGTTAGATATAAAGAAAACTTCATAAAGCCAAGCTATGTGTACTATATTCACCGCAGTACAGGCATTAAAATTCTTAAATTTCTCTATAAAGAAGATTTCTTAAAAATATGTTTATTTTCTCCCCTTGAGGTGTGAGAAAAAGATTATAGGGGTCAGTTGGTGGGATTTTTTGTAGGAATATGATCTATCATCACACTGTACTCATTAAATTTTTTCAATTATACCCCAATAAGCTAAAAAAAAGTATGTCACTTTGAGGGGAAAAAATAGTGTGTGTTTGTTGTTTTTACTTTGAGAAAAGATGTAAACTCTTACAGAATATTTTAAATTTAGAATATATTGTTTTGATAAATTGTAGGTAACATTCTTCTGGCCAGCCAGGTCACCAGGAGTGTCACATAGCTGGTGCATGGCACAAAGGCTGCTGGAAGGAGAGTGAATTCGGAAATCCAGCCTGCGCTCAATTTACCAAGTTGTGCACCTTGGTGAGGAGCCCTGTAGACTCAGCGGAAGTGGTGCCTTTTTCTAATCCTTCCCTGAGAGGGAGTAACTGTTTGTAATTAGCCAATATGTGTTAGGGAAGCCCTTCTGGTCAGAAAGATTTGGCCATGTGAATATTTAAATTTCAGCACTTAACATTTTTGACTCATAGGATTAATGAAGTTTTAAATGAATAATAAGAAAAAAGTTTATGTTCCTCTGAGTGGGTTTTAGGAATAAAAAAATAATAGTTATTTTTTCCTAATGCAGTGGTGCTCAAAGTGCGGTCCACAGGCCAGCAGTAGCAGCACTGCCTGGGAACTTGATAGAAACATAAATTGTTGAGCTTCACCCTAGATCGATGGAATCATAAACTCTGGGCTGAGGCCCAGAAATCCCTCCACGTGATTCTGATGCACATTAATCGTTGTCATCTACTGGTCTAATGCAGGGGTGGACAAACTATGGTTCTCAAGCCAAATACAGTCCACTGACTATTCTTTTTTTTAAAGATTTTATTTATTTATTTTTAGACAGAAGGGGAGAGAGGGAAAAAGAGAGGGAGAGAAACATCAATCTGTGGTTGCCTCTCCCACACGCCCCCTACTGGGGACCTGGCCTGCAACCCAGACTCATGCCCTGACTGGGAATTGAACCGGCAACCCTTTGGTTTGCAGGCCAGTGCTCAAAACACTGAGCTATACCAGCCAGGGCTCCCCTGACTATTTTTATAAAGTTTCATTGGAACATAGTCATACCTGTTTGCTTATGTATTATCTATGTTTGTTTTCCCGCTACAGTAACAGAGCTAAGCAGTTGGCACAGAGATTATATACCCTGCA